GTCATGTTAATCATGTTTCGCATTACGTTGGTCAAAAAAACAATTCATGCAAGAAGTGAACAAACGCATATACCTAACATGATACTCGGATTATCTTATGTTCCAAGTTGGTCTATTTAATAAATTTTGTGAGAGCCAATAAAATATTGTAAATGAGCGAGAAAAAGTAAACATATAAAAGACCATAATGCTGTGTAAATTTTGTGTTTGTTGTGTTGATTTCTTTTAAATTACATTACCGGGCTTTACGTAGACATCGTATAGATCCCACACATTCCCCTACCGAGTCTCACACATTCCCCTACCGAGTCTCACCAATATCACCGTCGAAAACGTTCTTTACATTTCCTAAAGGCCTTGGATCCCCCACGGATACCCATTCAACTCATACCATGTCTCATCAATAAACGTTACATTAACAAAACCTACACTAATCCCTCCTTTGCCATAGGAACGAACGTATAAAACATAAAATATCATCCTTTAGAAGACTTATATACAATTATTTTCCTTAATATAATTGCAAAATGAACACCTACTTTGTTCAAACCACCTTTAAATCCTTAAGAATCCTTCATTTAATATTTACTATAATCTGTATCATCTTAGGTATTTCTTCTTTTTTCTCATCATGAACTAGTTTTAAGTGTAATACCGAAGACGGTTCTTAGCAATTATGAATAAGTAAACGATTTGCAAACATTCAAAAGAATAACTACTAAACTATATATATATTTTTTAATAGAACTTGTTGAGGCTGCCGCGTTTGCCAAATTTGCGCCTGATCAAGGCATTCCAGTCTCTGCTTATTTTTCAGGTCGAATGTATGTCTTTTCCTGTATTGGCTTTTAAACTTTACAAAAATAGTATTAACTTGCATATATATGAATATATATGAACAATATATGAATATGTTGTTGCCGCTTCGCGGACGGTTCTATTTATACTTCCATATTTTTTTAATTAAAAGCAGCGTATTTCGTAAATTTTAGTTTATTGATCTCTTCTCTCAGTTGTTTTTTTTCTTTTTTTTTTTCTTTCACTCGGCGACTTTTTTGACAATGTATAATCAAAAAGGAAATATAAGGTTCCGGATCAGTCCGAACTCAAGATTTGGGAAACAAGCATGAACAAATAGTATGGAAGCATAAATAAGAACCGTGGAATAAATATGAATATTTGTAAGAAACATTTTATTAATTATGATTCACTTTTATGTTAAAACAGATACCAATACGGCAAAGATCAGTATTATTATAATGGTGTAAAGATTTTTTCTTACGTCGTTATACTTCTTACTCTTTTGGATGCTGGTACGTTTTTTTTTAAAAAAAAAAACTATATATCAACTTGAATGTTATGAAGACGACAATATTTATTATAAATTTGTGTTGCTAATTTTTTCTAATAGGGGTATATATGGTCCATTATTTGTTCTATACTGGTCCACACAAACGCGATATTGCAATCAATGGGTATGTACTTAAACTTTTTCTATCAATAGTTTTTTCTTTTTCA